AATTTCCTGGCTGCTGGTGCCAAGAGTGTTGACTGTGGAGCCAAGCAAACTAAAGCTGTGAACAATCTCAATCTCTTTACCATCCATCCTGATGCTTCCAATTGGCCCAGTGGTGAGAATCTTTGTCTTCTTGACATTGAGCCTCAATCCATAGAAGTTTATTTTAAAAAAGTTCTAAGAATTGTGTCCACCAACTCTCTCTACTCTAAAGGAGTAAAAAGAAAGAAGATAAGAGAGAAAGGGGCCATAGTTGTTTAAAGTGTTCCCACATATGTAAACAATTATTTGCAAATTATTTTGGTTATCTGCGATCGCCCATGATTTTCTGTTTTACTGAGATGCCATATGAAATCCAGTCAGGAATATTTACTCCAAGAGGTAAAAGTGAACTACAGGCTTTTCAAATGTAGAGTTTCAAAACACTTCTTTGTTTCTGTAATTTGTAGTCAATATGCATGCCATTAAGATACAAAAGGCCACCTCTTTTTGAATAATAAAAGTAATTATTGGTGCTTGTAGTATTAACACAGTTGTTCAGCCAATAACATTTATTGATCCATACCATATGCAGGTAATTTGATAGATGCTGTGTTGAGTCCTGTGAAAAGTCTCATTAAAACCTGCAGCTTTGACATAGAGAAGCCTTTGTGACTTTCAATTTTTAGGATCAGGGGCAGCAGACAGTGACACACTGACAATGTCTGCCATCAAAAAAACAAAAACAAAACAATTTTTATCCTTTCGTCCTTGAATATTATAGTTATTTGAAGATGTCTGAGTATAGCAAATACTGTAACAAAATTAATGATGACAATATAATTTCTATGTAATGGCAAAAAAATTCAGTATGTCCGGTATCCAATTAGAAATTTTTGTCCCACTACACACTGGACATTTGGTAGGCATGTAAAGATTATATGCTACAATGTGAAATCTCACAGAGTAAATGACAAATATCTGATAATCAACTCAGATGATTCACGCTAACGACATGAAGTAGAAGCGAGTCACACAAGGTTACATTTCTGAAGAACCGAGGAACCTCCTCCTGTGTTTTCACAGGTAGAAAATGAGAATAAATACCTCCTGTGGCACGACAGATTGCCCTAGTGCCAATTATACAAATGTAAGCAGTTCTATCGGAAAGTGACCTGACGGGGAAGGCTGGGGCTCTCGGTCATTTCCTGTGTCCAAGACGTTAGTGCCTCATGTGAAGCGACCGGATATGAAATCTGGATATATCGACATTTATCAAAGTTCATAGATGTTCTAGAGGCTTGTTTAGGAAGTGGATGCTAACAATACAAAGGTCTACAGTTTGAATCCCGGAGCTGTTCTGTGGAAGAAAGATGGGCATTCTCCTCCCCTATGAGTTAACACCTCTGAAAACCGGCTGGAGAGTCAGCTATGGGTCAGTTCTGATTCGATAGAACCCGACTACCACACGCAGTAACTGCTTTAGAATGTGTTGTTGTTGTTGTTATGTGCCGTTGAGTCACCTGCGACTCATAACGACCCTATGTACAACAGCCCTAAATCCTGCTCTGTCCTGTGCCAATTGCACCGTCTCGGACATACCCATCCCGATTACCCCAGTCACTGAATCAATCCACCTCATAGAGGGCCTTCCCCTCCTGCGCTGTCCCTCCACCCTCCCAAGCATGATATCCCTCTCCAAGGACCTGTCCCTCCTTGCAACATGTCCAAAGTATGTTAGAGGGAGTCTTAGAATCCTTGCCTCCAAGGAGCAGCCTGGTTTGACCCTTTCCAGGATGAATCTGTTTTCCTAGCAGTCCATGGTACTCTCAATACTCTTCTCCAGCACCACAGCTCAAAGGCATCAATTCTCCTTCTGTCCTCCTTAGTCATTGCATAACAAGTGATTGCAAAGACCATGGTCTGTGCTTTAGAATGTAAGAAAAAGAAATTTTTACTTCTCTCACGAGTTTCTGCTTTCCAGCACAAATAATAAATTTAGATGGAATCCCAGCAGCCTCACAAATGTGTAGTGATGTTTTTGTGACGTGCTGTCAAGTCAGAACCCACACCTGACCGTCCAGCAGGTATTCAGCGGCTGTAAATCACATAGGAGGGGTTTGCCCCTTTTGCCCATGGAGGAGCTGGTAGATTCGAACCACCTGCCTTTGGGTTGAGAGCACAACTCCTTACTGACTAGGCCACCTACAATACATACAATAACAGATGGAAAAGAGGCTTTTGCTTTGAAAGGACAGGGAACCCAGTCAGAAATCCAGCCTCTGCCTTTTGCGATAGAAACAAACGCTATTTATTCTTGCCAACCATCAAGCAGATGACCTTCCAAACATTCTGCTTGAAGATTTTCTACCAATCTAAATGATACGCATCTAAACTACAGCATTTACCACCTGGTTCAAAAATTTCAGCAGTAAAAATAAGATTTTTAAAAAGCTCATCCAACAAACATAGCAATCTTAAATATTTTACTCTTCTTAATGTGTTTTTTTTTTAACTGAGAAATGTATTCTGTGATCTTACAAAGTTTCTCTATCACAGCAAAATTAGTGCGAAGGTGTTTGAGCGTGGGTGTGTGTGGGTGTGGGTGTATGCGTGCTGAAAACAGAATCCAAAGGAAATGCACAGAATCTTTCCAATAGTGATAAGAGAGAGGTATATCCCACAATTTCCTTTAGAACTAGGTGGAGAAGGATATTACCTAGGAAATTCCTACTTAACCCACTGCCATGGAGCAGGGCAGAGCAGCACAGAGCACAGACTTCCCAAAGCTGTGATCTTTGCGACACCATACTGACTCCCACCATCTTTCTTTCAAGCGGCTGGTGGGTGCTGACCAATGACCTTTTCATTAGCAGCAAGCATCGGACCACTACCCTCCCAGGGCTTCCAGAAGACTCCCAACAACACGGGTCGATCACGCCTTTGGTCGTGGTGTTGGAGACAGTACTGAATGGACCGTCCGAAGGACACACACGTCTGTCTTAGAGGAAATTGCAACCAGGGTGCTCCTTCGAGGCAAGGATGGGGAGACCTCTCACATTTGGGGGCATGCTGTCAGGAGGGGAAAGGTCAGAGAAAAAGAGGAAGATCTCAACGTGCTGGACAGCCACAGTGACCGTGACCTGTCACGTGGATGCATCAGAGACAGTGAGGACAGAGCAGGAGAGCGCAAGAGTTAGACCCATTGTTCAGAGAGGTGAAGTCCCCAGGCATTGAAACCAACTTGATGGTACGTAACAAGAACATCAGCAACATTTGGGACCTCAAGGAGCTCTGGGGGTGCAGGAGTTCAGGGTTTAGTGTTAACAGAACAGCAGCATTTCGCCCACACCCACCACTCCGTGGGGAAGAGACGAGACCGGCTGCTTCCAGGATTCAGAGCGTTGGAAACCGTGTTAAGTTCTGTTGGCTCCTGTGACTCAGAACGTGCTGGACGACAGTGAGGTTGGACTTTGTATTTATCTGGGAATCTCAGTCAAGAGCTTGTCTTGAAAAAAAAAAAAAAAGAGCTCGTCTTGGCAGCACGCTAAAAGGAGCCCCAAACAAGTGTTTTCCACCCTGGTATTTCACTACCTTAAGAACAAGGGTGCCCGTCAGAATGCACACCTTTGCAAATTCTGTGTTCTGCCCCAAACCTCGGGGATCTCAAGTCTGGATGTGCGGCCTTCAGGGGGCATTTGCCCCACAGCGGCCACAGAA